AGAGAAATTGCTTAGGTATTCACAGCAAAACCTCTAGAAATGTAATAGCAATCTCACCAAAGGAATGCAAGATGCCAGATCAAGGCAGACATGAAGATCTCATCTGGGCATTTTATATCTAACCTTCTTAAGGATAGGAATGTTATTTTTTGGGTTGATAATTTCATCATGATTTCTAGACCCATTCTTCCCTTTTGTTAAATTATTACAATAAAAATAGTCTGAGCATGTAGTATATTGCATAGATTTTTGGAGGGTCTGTGTTCTAGTCAAGCTCTCTATTTTAGAGATAACTTTAAAAATGTCAAAATCAGTACCATTATTCTTAATATTATAATGAAAGGGTGATAGGCTCTTTAGATTTCTGATAAAATAGGCCTCAAACTCAAAAGATTGTATCTTTACAGATGAAGAAATTGAATACTTCTAGTAACTTCAAATGAAATCCATCAAATATTTGTGTGTGCGTAGAGACAGCAACAAAGCAACTATATTTTCTAGATTCCTTCTTTTCACTATAGAATATGCCAGACTAATTTGATAAAATCATAGCCAGAACTATGGCTTAATGAGATCATAATAATAGCAGTTACTATTTCTGAACACTTGTATACTTTTTGTTTTCATTTCTATTAATTGCAAACAATTGGGCAAAGTCAGGTTTAATCTGAAAGGTTAAATGACTTGCTTGAGCTCATTCGATTAGTAAATGACAGAGAAGGGCCATAAGCCTGGGTCAGGATATATAACCGTAATGGATAATTTAGAAGTTACAGGTTGACATGCCATGGATATTTGAAAGGCACTGTTTTGGTAGAAAACATATTGCCACCATATTTGCATATAATCTGTGTAATATTTTAATGTAAATATGAAAAATAATAGTACTGCTTAATTAAAAATTGCCATGTTTTTAATAAAAACAACAAAAAATGCTACATAACAACTGAATCAATTAGATTCAGACTTAAATGGCTTCTCAAGCTTTTTTAAGGGAAATATTTTTAACTCAATAATGTAGTTTGGTATCCTTCAAGTATTTTCTGATATATAACCTGTCTTCTTATGATTAATTTCATTTTAGAGCTACCAGAAAGAACATGACCTGTAAAGTGAAGATAAAGGTTATGATGACTGCACAGGAATGGAGACATTAGTATGCAGGAATTTATAAAGGAAGATGCAGAAACAAGATATCTTCCATTTGATGATGTTATGTTCTTTTTCAAAAGCTTTTTTTCTTTTTTTCTAAAGTTTAGCCTGAAATTTTAAATCCTTGTGTTTAGACATCTACACTGTAAATCAAGATCAACATCAAGAATATCAAACATTATTATTAGGAGGTTGCAAAACAATAACCACAACAGCAAAACCCAAACCTTTTGGCCACCACATTCTGTTCCCCCATAATTGAATGAAATAAAAAAAATAATGTTGGAAATTAAATATGTGCAGGTAAAAAAGGGTTTTTGTCATCAAAATATTGTTTTAAAGTAACAAGAACCAGATAAAATGATCATATCATCAACTGTTCTCTATTACTTGAATGTGAAAGTTTTCTCTTTTTGGATACACCTACATTCATTTACTTATGTTACATAATCCCTACAGTGGTAGACTGCCTTTATTGTATATTGGAGAAATTTAAAATGTATTTATTGGGATGACATTTTTTGGGAAAAAAGATATTGAAGTACATACAGATTTAATGCAACTGAATTACGGACACAAATTAAGGGGTTTTTGATATTTATTTTAAAGTTAATATCTTACCTTGTGCTGCATTATTTGTCTCAGTGAAGTTATACATAAATAATGCTTTGCACCTATGAAACCCAAACCGTATTTTCATTTGTACACTCAACAAATATTTGAGTGCCTACTGTTTACCAGGCATTGTGACTTATGCCTACTACTGGACTGTAACTTTCTTGAGTTACAGTCTTCCTTCAGCTCTAAATTCTCATAACGCTTATTAGCACATTCACTTGTGTTCATAAAATGTATTCAATATTTGGTGAATGAAATCAGAAGGGAGAAAAAACTTGTATATTGAGTTAGGGCTACTTAACTATAAGAAACAATTGAATTTGTGGACTTTTTCTTTGGAAGGGAAATAATACTCCATTCAGTTTTGAAATTTAGAAGAGGGAGCATAAAGTGTTCTTAATAAATATAAAACGTACTTATATTCTCCTATGGTAAAGTCAGTATGAGGAGAGGTCTCACAAAGTAAGAAGAGGTAGAAAATTTAAAAGAGATGAAGAGAAACTAAGAGATGTAGATAAGGAGTATGGGAAGAGAACGTCATAAAGTCAGACATACAGACATGAATGATGTAACAAAAGAATGATACAGATCCACCATGGTGAGAGCAAAAATGAGACCATGCCATGCAACTCCCACTCAAGAAAAACTTTTACTACTGTCCTACCTCAAACTGGCTCCCAGGCTCTTAATACTATCAGAATTGTAGAACAAGACACTATTATAATTCAGATGTGCACTAAATAGCTGGTGAACCTTAGGAGGAAGTTGGTCACTATTTGGAAGATGCAGAAAAGAACATTACAAAAATCATGGTTTGGCTGAATCTCGAAGACTGAGATAGGGATGTGACTGGTATCAAAGAGGGAAAATTCAGGCAGAAAACTGATGGTAAAAAGACTTGTGTGGCTGGAACATAAGATAAATGTAAGATAGTGGAGGATAAAGAGAGTAAAGTTATAGAAATTGATGCTTGAACATCATTTCAGAGTAACTACTGTGTCCCTGCAAGTAAGAGTGGAGCAATTAAAATAAAATCACTGAGGATGAAGCCCCGGTAAAGGTATTTTTAAAAAGCTCACTTGGAGATGCTGATGTGCAGATATAGCTGAGAATCACTGTGATAGGTGATTGGAAGTCAATGAACATTTTAAAGTGAGGATATGGTAAGATTAGATCTTTTTTAGGAAGTTAACTTCGGACTGGAGAGTGGCAAGAGAATGAATCTGTATGTGTATAAGGACTTTGAAGAACTGAACAGCAGTAGTCTATGGTATTGTATTCACAGAAAAAGACATATAGTTAGACTTACCAAGGAAGAGACTATTTTTATATTAATGTTAAAACTATTTGAAATACTTGGTTTAAAGTCTTACTGAATGTTACAACCAAATGTTAGAAAATTTGGATATTATTTGTTATATTTGCTACATAGATCTAATAGACCTAAGCCAAGAACATTGGATGGAGCTTATTTTAATCCCTATTTCAAATGCCTTATGTGAATTCACTATTTATAGATACACCGTAGCTTATTCCTTTTGTAAATGGAGAATTTACTGGTAAGAAACAGTTATGGTAACACTGTCATGCCAATTTTTTGATCAGATGAAACCACTTTATCTTGTTTTGGGGGTTACATTAGTATTCATTAGGAGATGTTACTGTTCCTTGGTAAACTGCAAAGATTTATCAGTTGAAGGGAATGGGTACTCCAAAATGTATTAAGAAATTGAAGAAGTCAGTAAATGTTTTCTATATTGTTTTCAAAGTTACTTTGGTTTTCTTATTAACAACCATTATTTGCATAAGGCAGTATGTCTTATTTGTAAGATAATGTCCAATTTTTTAAAAATTTAGAAAAAGAATTTGGTCTACTAGTTACTCTGAGCTGTTAAAAATATTCTATATATTTTTTTATACATAATAAAGACAAAAATATGATATATGCCTAAAATGGTATAAATTACTTTATATAGAAAACAGTGATTTTTTTTACTGAATTTTGTCAGTGGTATGGACTTAGTTTTTCCTGTCATTTTTTATATATCTGTATTTACATATACAGATATATAGATTTTTTAAAAATAAGTGGATCTCCAGTGACTCATGTCAGAAAAGAACTCTTGTCTATCTTCTAATGCAGTATTTTCAGTTCATATAACAGTGTGAATTGTGCTTTCTAGTTATTGTAATTGGTTGTATTATTTTAAGACAGTGTCTAGTATTTCTTGAAATATCTCTCTTAGAATTGGATCCAAGACACTCAAAAACTTTCAACCTGTGATTTGTCATTATCTCCCATTGAGTAAAGAAAGAGAATATTTCTTATTTTCTCTTCCCTTCCTTCCTCCCTCACCCTCCTTCATTCCCTCCCTCCCTTCCTTTCTTTTTTGATTAAGAAGTGAATAAGAAACTCTGACCAGGGGCGCCTGGGTGGCTCAGATGGTTAAGCGTCTGCCTTCGGCTCAGGTCATGATCCCAGCGTCCTGGGATCGAGTCCCGCATCGGGCTCCCTGCTCCTTGGGAGCCTGCTTCTCCCTCTGCCTCTCTCTCTCTCTCTGTCTCTCATGAATAAATAAATAAAATCTTTAAAAAAAAAAAAAGAAAGAAACTCTGACCAAAAGGAACATTTTGCAGGAAATATAACAGTAGTAAAGGTGAGGAAATTGAAAATCAGTAAGGTTAAGTGATTTTCCACCTGCCCCAGATGGTAAGGAGTGGCATTAGGCCACAGACTCTTCTGGACTCTTGTTTGGATTCACAATACCTTATTAAAGGACAAGTCCCAAAAAAGGTTAGTAAAAAACTACAAAACCCCTAATACTGTTGTCATAATGATATGGCTCTCCTTAATAACTTCCTTAGAGATTTGTGTTTCTAATTTGGGAAATAGTCAATATATGAGCTGTTTTTTCCTAATATCACACCCTCAATCTATTTCAGGGATTTTAAACTCTTTTTCTCTATATTTTTTGCATTAAAAACCCTTTGGAAAATCTGATGAAGGTTATGAATTTTCTCCTCACAAAAAATGTATATACGCTCATTTAGACAAAATTCTGCATCCATTTTAAAGACTCATTTTTGTAAATATATTCAAGGAGACAAAGGGAGCTACCTAGAAGGAACATATATAATTACTTTTTATTTTTACACGTAAAATTTTTTTCCTCTAAAGTAGAAGATTCATTTGATGCAAAAGTTAAAAATCTTCACCTAAATGGTAGGAAATAGTATGGACAAAATTAAGTTTACTTTGGCAATCAATTTTAGTACTTTTCAATCTTGTAAACTGTTAAAGAATATATAGGTACACAAAAACACCTTAAAATTCTAATTATACTTTATAAAGGAGAACAATTAAAACTTCACAATTTTCTCTGAAATTTACACAATATACGTTATAAATGTAAGGCTTTGAGAAGAACATTGTAAAAACCCGAGACCTTATAATCCCGACCAAAAGAAAAACAGACATATCACAGAATTTAATTTTTAAAGATAAAAATGGCATTCACTTTTTATGAAAGAGCAGAGGTTTCACCATCCCTGCCAAGATCTTGGGTAACTGCGCAGCAATAACTTCAGACATCATCTCTGGAAATTCCACACTCAGTGCCCGGGACTGGATAAATGTATTCAAGCAGTACAGATGAAGCTGTTTGACAAGCTGTTGGTTTCACAAACGGATAGAGAACATGTAAAAAAATAACATGCATATAATAAAACATGACAGCTTATTTTCCTAACAGTATGAATACCCATCAAGATGTTTTCTTACCAAAATAACTCCCTTCATTCTCTAGAATAATATGTAAGATACTACATACAATGAAACATTCTGATAGTACAGATTTAAAGAAATGAAAGTCATTCATAATCCCACAGGATAACTGATATGAACGTTTTGGTGTCTTTCTTTTTTCTTTTTTCTTTTTTTAAAGATTTTATTTATTTATTTGACAGAGAGAGACACAGTGAGAGAGGGAACACAAGCAGGGGGAGTGGGAGAGGGAGAAGCAGGCTTCCCGCAGAGCAGGGAGCCCGATGCGGGGCTCCATCCGAGGACCCTGGATCATGACCTGAGCGGAAGGCAGACGCTTAAGGACTGAGCCACCCAGGTGCCCCTCTTTTTTCTTTTAATACATGTATACAAACATACCCAGGTTTACACACAATATACATAAGGCATATATAATTCCAAAAATGCAATTATCTAATAAAGTCTACTTTGTTAATAGACTGGCTTTTTCACATAACAATATATTGAGTCTTCCTCTGTCAACACAAATAACCCAACATAATTCATTTTAATCTAATTTTAATTTTTGTCAAATAATTAATGTAAATAATTTTAAAAGTCAAATAGAACCCAGCAGCAACAATAAAATCCAGCAGTTTTCTAATAGAGTTCTTCCCATCCTTATTCTAGTTCCCCAGATGCAAACATTTTCAACTTCTTTAGCCCGTATCTTTAAATATTTATCTCTGTATTTCTAATAAATTTTGTTTTTCAAATTTGATATTATTGATTTAGTTTCTATTATGGAAAATGAGGTTTTAGCTCTCTTATACTAGACACCCCTCCCAACTATGCACACTTTTCTCTTCTCGTTTTCTATATAGCTATATCTCAATTTTTTACTAAATCAATACCCAGCAATTATAAAGATTTTTATTGTTTCCTGCTGGATTACATTTCCTTTCATATAGGACTTATTTTTACTTTGCTAGAGCCAATCACCTTGTGTTTCTGTTTTGCTTTGTTTCCTTTATATTTATCACAAAACCATAGTCAAATTCTCTGACACAATTGTAAAAACTCACCTCAGTATGTTCATACATACTGGTAATCCCTCCGTTCCATCTTTTTTTCCTGGTACTAGTATTCTGAAACCCTGTGCATTACTGCTCCAATCTAGAGTAATGATTGTCCAGCACAGTCAATGTGCTAGAACATCCCTTTGCATCTCTCCTGGGTTGGATATTCTACTTCATTGGCTTAGTCCAGTGTTTTACAGTTAAAACATTCTGTAGATGTTCTTGAGAAAGGTTGTATTTGAGGTAAGCTCTCTGAGACCTTCGCATCTGAAAATACTTTTTAAGGTGGCATCGTATTTGTCTGATGGCTTGGATGGGTATAAAATTCTTTGAAGATTTTCCTTTTCTCCAAAATTCTGAAGCCATTGCTCCATTGTTTTCTGGGTTCCAGTATTGTTAAGAAGTCCAACATCATTTTGAATGCTGATCATTTTTATGTAACTTGTTTCTTTTCTCATTGGTATATTTTAGCATAGTCTCTTTATTTCTGGTATTCTAAAATTCTACAATAATGGGCCTTTGTTCAATTGTGCTGTGCCTGTACAATGGGCCTTTACAGTCAGAAAATTAAAATACTTTTGGTCCAGCAGCTTTTATTTTATGATTTTTTATATAATTACCTCTCCTTGATTTTCTCTATTCTTTCAGAAATTCCTTTTAATTGGGAAATGAACCTCCTTGGATTAATCCCCTAAATTTATCTCTTCTAGTTTTTCATTTCTTTATCTTTTTTGTTATTTCTTGAGTTTTTCTGAGATTTATATTTCAGCCCTTCAATTAAATTTTAAATTTCTGTTTTTCTATATTTAATTATCCAAAAGTATTTTCTTTCTAAATGTTCCTTTCCAAATGTTTTCTATTTTTGTTTCATGGATGCAATATCATTCTTTTTTCTCTGAATATCTTAATTTTTTTGAATCTTTTTTCTGTTCTCTGCTCTGGTGCTTTTTCCTTCATTACACTTTTTCTGAGTATTTGATTTCTGCCTTTCATTATAGAGGCTTTACCTATATGGCTAACAATCCTTGGCTATCTGTTTCTCAAATTTGACCTAGTGAGTAGATTGCCAAATTGTCCGTTAGCACTGTCATTAACTTATAATTCCATCCAAAATGATACGAGTCTTATTTTTCACACCCATACCTTTGCTTTTCCTGTATATATAAAATCTTCTCTAACTTAGGGCAAAAATATTTTAGAACATTACTCAGGAAAATGTTATCACGATTCCTATAAACCATTAAATTACTTTCAAATTATACAAATACTAGTAAAAGGATATTGGGGTGATCTACATTGAAAATGAAAAAAGCACAATATAAGTGCTGAGCAGTGTGATACAAATACTGTTTTAAAATATAAGTACAAATATGAGTTTGAAGAAACCATATAAGGTAAAATGTAGATTTAATATTTACAAGATTATAGAAATTCAGAAAATAATCAGTGATATCCTAGAAAACAAAATACTTACATCATGCAAGTTATCAAGAAGTTTTGTAAGTTGGTAGAAACGCTGTGAGCTAGAGACAACTCCTTTTTGCCTCAAACCAATTGCCTTGATGAGCTCTCTAATGTAGCTTGATCTCATCTCTTCAAACTGATTTTGACTTCTTAGTCCTTCCAAAGGAACTGAAAGAATATAACTGGCAGTTATGTTTAAAAAGATGACAGCAGCAGTTAATAATAAAAATTTCTGTAAAGATTTCTTTTGATATAGAATTCTAGATATGAACATCTTAAATAGGAAAGAGTGTTATTGATAGTTCTCTTATAGAACTTATAGTTCTCTTGAAGCATATAAGAACAACTAGATAAACTAAAGAACATTTTAGCTTACCTATTTTAGAGCTGTATCAGTGGATTATTCATTTAACTTAACATTTGCTCAAAAGAGCATCTGTCATTCTATATTCCTGTCTCAGGAATGGATTTACTTTACAATTATATGTAAGTTGGGTCTTTTTTAAAGAAAAAGTATTTTTTTATTTTTTTAAAGATTTTATTTATTTATTTGACAGAAAAAGACACAGTGTGAAAGGGAACACAAGCAGGGGGAGTGGGAGAGGGAGAAACAGGCTTCCTGCTGAGCAAGGAGCCTGATGCGGGGCTCATCCCAGGACCCCCAAGATCATGACCTAAGCTGAAGGTAGATGCTTAACGACTGAGCCACTCAGGCGCCCCAAAGAAAAAGTATTTAAACAAATACTTGGATCTCTCTGTCAAGTTTGTCTTCATATAAATCTGAAGTATCTGTCGTTGAGATTATTCATGGATAATTTATCTTTTTTGTTGTAATTTTAATATTGCTTCATTAAATTTCCTAATTCCTCCTGCTCATATGAGAGAAAGCTATTGCTATTTCAATACTTCTCTTATATCCAACCACTTCATTATACTACTCTATTTTTACTAATTTCTTTTAATTTCTATTTTCAATTCAAATAGTTTTGGTTGATTATCTTTTGTGTTTTTTTGGGTATACAGTACTGTATTTAAAATATCCTCATTTCTCCCTTCCGAATAGTTGTAGCTCTTGTTTCTGCTTCATGATTCAGTGCATGGTTTAGGATTTCCAGAACAATATTAAATAATAACAATGGCAAATATTCCTTTTTCGTTGCTTATTTTAATGGGAATGCATCTTATTCCCATGTGATGTTAACTGGTAATATATCTCTGAAGTCTTTAATTCTGATAGCCAAATTGTAGGCACAACTTCCTATTCTTACTGCTAGTTCTCTTATTTCTACTACATTGTCTATTTTACCTACAATTTTTTTCCTTAATATTTTAGATCCTTCTGTTGTCACTTGTTTGCGATGCTCTGCTTGATTTCTTCAGCAAATTATCACCAGAACTCCCAATTTTCTTGTTTCCTTTTGCTTTGGTTCCATTTACCTTACAAATAAACCTTGAAACTTAAATGAAGCAGCTCCCTTTTCCTGCAGCTATATCTAGATTGCTGAAAGAAAAAAATCATATAGTCTCTTGGATTTATATAACTCTACATTAATTATCTTGACCCTTGACCCTTGATGATTTTTTTGGGGAAAAAAAACAGGCAAACCAAGAAACAGACTCTATAGAGAACAAACTAATGGTTATGGTTGGGTAGGGAGGTTGGTGGAGGGATTGGTAAAATAGGTGATGGGGGTAACCCCTAAGGAGTACACTTCTGATGAACACGTGTGTTGTATGGAAGTGTTGAATCACTATACTGTTCACCTGAAACTAATGTTACACTGTATGTTAACTGGAATTAAAAAAAAAAAACACTTAAAAAATAAAATTATTTTTTCTTCTGATTATTGAAGTACTATTTCCCATTAGGTTTTCAAGAACTGGAAACTAGTAACCCAAAGTCTTCACTTTATCCATTCAAGTATTCCCAGCCAGCCTCACATCCTTTTAGTATCGACCACTAATAAGAAGTTCTGGGGATATTATAATCTAATCATTAGGCTCTCATCCTATGCTCCTGGGACATTTTGAAGTTTTTCCTCCTGTCCTGCTCTCTTTCCTACATTTCAGATCAATAATGAACCAGCTCTCCTAAATATTTCTATTTGCTTTAAGCTCCTTACCTGAATTCATTTTTGCCTTGATTATTACATCCAGTATTATATGATTGGAGAATTTTTTCTCAGATTCTTGTTGATTCCACAAGTGAGTTTTAGGATTTCTTGCAAATATCTTAGTGGCAAATTGGGAAATGGTGTCATGGGCAGTTAGCCAGATGCTATTTTACATAAGAATACTTTTTTATAAAAACAAGGATCTTTATTTTTTGATTTAGCTAACTTAAAAATAACATATTCATTAGAAAAATTTTAGAAAACATAAAAAATTATAAGTCACTAGATTCTACAATCCAACATTTTGGGACATTTCCTAACATTATATTGAGAACATTTACTTATATCTCTCAAAATTCTTTAATAATAAATGTTTTAATTCTCATATTTAATTTCACTTAAAATTGTAGTACAATTTATTTGTCTTCTCATTTGATATTTGAAATATTTTGCTAGTCTAAACAATACTTATGATGAATATAATTTTTGATTTTTTAAAAAGATATATCCTTAGAAGTGGAAGTATTGCAATTAAAGATATTAACTTTCTTAACACTCATAATATACATTGCTAAACTTCTCACTATTTAACTGTTTTGTGGCTAGTATTGAATATTTTCATTTTAGGTAATCTTTGCTTTTTACATAGAAAAATAAAATATCTCATCTTCATTTCTCAAAATATTAGTGAGGTTGAACAATTTTCTTATGTGTATTAGTGATTTTTAATTTTTTTTCTGTTTTGTACTCACTTATTTATAGGGGCCTAAATTATATTTCAGATATTTTTCTAAGTTTGTTGTTTATTTTTATTTTTATTTTTTTAAAGATTTTATTTATTTGACAGAGAGAGACA